TGGTTGCTGGAAAAGAAAAGGAAAATTAAGAAAAAATAATAATCATCAAAATCAAAAGGAAAAAAAGGTACGAGAAAGTTACTCACGTGCAAAATTCCACTTTTCAGGGAAGGGAACATTTTCCTCACTCACCAAACCAATGGTGGGAGCAGCAACAAATCGGGCATACCAGCCACGGTCTCTGTCATCCTCTGGACTAACCAGAACTCTTTCGCTCCTTGGTACTAAAGTGAAAACACCATTGCGAAAGAGTCTGGGGGATTAAAGATGAATTAGATGGGAGAAAGTGAAAGGCACACCGGCCACATTGCTCAAATGCCTCAAACAGGCAACAACTCTCCATACTATAGGGCCAATCTGACCTAAACATACGTCGAAAAAACGACAGAATTCTAGGATGACAGGGTCAATAGCAGGTTTGAATCCTAAGGTAAAAGGTTATGTATAAACAAAGGAAAATCCCATCAAATAGGAGGTGATTCTTTAGTTCGCGTTAGGAATTATGATGGGGAAATCCTGACTCCAATGGCAGTCTTTACGAACTAAAGCAATTAGACCTTCAATGATCTGAGTTGGATAAATGTCAGCGTGATCTAAAGAAGATACCTGGTTTCTAAGAGACTCTCTATCATTATAGAAGGAAAATTCCGCAGGAATTATATCCTCTACTAGAGGTTCACGAAGAGGCTCAGAGGATTCCTTACCTCTAGAGGAAGATTTATGTGAAACAGAACCTCTGGTTCTAGAAGAAGAGCCAGAACTAGATGAATGAAGAGAAGAACCGCGTATGGATGAAGACCCTAAACTACGTAATCTACCGCCTCCTCTTTTACTCCTATTAGAAGCAGAAGGAAAGTTATCAACTATGGAGACTCTTCTAGGGTTATGGTTTGGTGAAGCCATGGCAGTACAAGGAAATTGAAGAACAAGAAGTGAATATTCTGAGAGCCTTGAATTTTATGTGAGAAAGACAAAAATAAGAACTATATTTATACTAACAAGCAACCGTCAAAGGAAAATGTGCAATGATGGAAAGGTTATAATGAGAACTGTCGCTTCGTGCTTAGTGAAGCCGTAAAAAAGCCTTGAAAAGCGCCGCAAGACTGCAGAACCAGTTGGAGGGTGCCACGTGTCATGCGCATTAAATGGAAGTGACAATTGAAGCGTCAAAATTAATTATAGCATTAATGGCGGCACCCGCTTTCATAAAATCCACTTCCCAAATATTCAATTGATGAATAAATGCAAATGGGGGGCCTATCTGTATTGGGAAAAATTGAGTTTACATATTAAAGTGATTGAAAGATGACGTGTCATGACACGAAGGCTGGTCAAAAGAATATTAAGCAAAGAGGCACGGTTGCAACAGATACGAGCGGAAACACAAGAAGAGGCACGGGACAATATTCAAAAAGGTTCGACGCTCGTGCGTATTTAAGTATAAAAGCTGAGAAGAATGAACCTGACAGTGCAAAAGACTCCAGATACAGTATTTAATAAGCATTAAATACTGAAAGATTTAGAGAATTTGTATTAATTCACAATGATTATGTAACGTAGCATTTAATGCCTTTATTCGGTCACAATAACCTTATTATGACAAAAGCAAAACGTATAACTCAGAAATAGCTATAAAAGGGAGAAGCCTAATCATTTGTAGGGACACGAAAGACCAACTGAATATACTGATTTATTTTGCTCTTTGCTATTTAACTTATTGTTAATTTCTTTTGCTTATTCTTGATTATCAGTAACTTGAATTCTTCTAAATTCAAAGCTTTGACTGAAATTCCATTTTTTTGGTTAAACAACAACAACAATATATAAATATTGTACATTATTCCAAAAAAAATAGCGGTCATATTCTATAGGATGAAAACTCATTATAAATTTGATTAATTTTACATTATTCATTAATATATTATAAATCTTTTAATCGGATTAAGACTAGTAAAGTTAATATAAGCTGAGTCAAAAGTACGCGGCAGACCTAAAACAAACAAATTAAGTTAAAATATTGAAAAGAACACAAGTTAAAAAATGTAAGCACGAAAAATAAAGTATTTATTGATGATTAGGAAGGTTCATTCACACGAGTTAAAATAGTCTCAAGGAAGGGAACATTTTCATCACCCACTAAACCAATAGTGGGGGCAGCAACAAACCTGGCGTACCAGCCACGGTCTCTGTCATCTTCTGGACTGACCAAAACTCTTTTATTCCTTGTTGCTAAAGTAAAAACACATTGGCGAAAGAGTCTGGGAGAATAAAGGTGAATTAAATGAGAGAAAGTAAAAGACACGCCTGCCATGTTGGTCAAATGCCTCAAACATGCAACAACCCTCCACACTATAGGGCCAATTTGACCTAAACCGACGTCGAAAAACAACAGAATTCAAGGATAACGGGGTCAATAGCAGGTTTGAAACCTAATGTGAAAGGGTATGTATAAACAAAAGAAAACCCAATTAAATAGGAGGTGATTCTTTGGTTTGTATTGGGAATTATAATAGGAAAGTCATGACTCCAGTGGCAATCTTTACAAACTAAAGCAATCAGACCTTCAATGATCTGAGTTGGGTAGATATCAGCACGATCTAAAGAGGACACTTGGTTTCTAAGGGATTCTCTATCATTATAGAAAGATAGTTCCGCAGGAACTATTTCCTCCACTGAAGGTTCACGAAGAGGTTCAGAGGGTTCCTTACCTATAGAAGAAGACCTTTGAGAAAGAGAACCTCTGGTTCTAGAAGAGGGACTGGAACTAGATGAAGGAAGAGAAGAACCACGTATGGATGAAGATCCTATATTACGCAGTCTGCCTCCTCTTCTGCTCCTACTAGGGGCAGGAGGAAAGTTATCAACAATGAGGACTCGCCTATGGTTAGGGTTTGATGAAGACATGATAGTACGAGGAAGAAGCCAACAAGAATTGAATATTCTGAGAACTTTATGTGAGAAAGACAAAAGTGAAGACTATATTTATACTTAGAAGCAACTGTCCAAGGAAAAGTTGTAATAATGGATACGTCATGATGAGAACTGGCGTTTCGTAATTGGTGCAGCCGTAAAAAAGCCTTGAAAATTGATGAAAAGTTGCAGAATCAATCAAAAGGTGCCACGTGTAGTGGATATTAAATAGAAGTGACAAATGAAGCGACAGTTCCAGAGAAAAACTGATGGCGACAAATATTCCCGCTTTAATAAAATTCACTTCCCAAATATTCAATTGATAAATAAATGGCAAGTGGGGGGACTATCTGTATTGGAAAAATTGAGTTTATATATATTGAAGTGATTGAAAGATGACATGTCATGACACAAAGGCTGGTCAAAGAATGATGATTAGCAAAGAGGCACGAGTTGCAACGGATATGAGCAGAAGCAACAAGCAGAGGCACGTGCAGATTTTCAAAAGGCTCGACGCTCGTACCTATTTAAATCCAAAAATTAAGGAGAATGAATCTGACAACACAAGAGAGTACAGATACGGTATTTAATAAGCATTAAATACCGGAAACGTTAGAGAATCGATATTAAATTACAATGATTATGTAACGTAGAATTTAATGCCTTTTATTGTCTATAATGGCCTTATTATGACAAGGGCGAAACATATATCTGAGAGATAGCTATAAAAAGGAGAAGACTGGTCATTTGTAAGCACACAAAATACTATTGGAATATACTGATTTATTTTGCTTTCTTGTGTTCATCTTATTATTAGAAAAATCAATTTCCATTATTCATTTCTTTGATTATCAGTAACCTGAGTTCTTCTAAAATAAAGCTTTGACCGAAATTCTATTTTTTGGTTAAACACCCATGAAGAAGTATCATTATAAGTTAAATGAGAATGTGAGTAAATACAATAGCAATAAGTAAATATGAGTTGCGTGTGAGGACACTATGCTAAGTCTAAAATAACAAGGACAACGACAATATATAAGTGTACGCCATTCCAAACAAGTAGCAGTCATATTCTATAATATTATAAATTATAAATTTGATTAATTTTACATTAGTCATCAACATTATAATTCTAATCCTTTAATCGGATTCAGGACCAGTGAAGTAGTTTATACAATCTGTGTCAAAACTACGCAGCAAACTGAAAACAAATAAGTTAGTTTCTTCGTTTTCATATAGTTCTAATAATCATTTCGACCAAAGTATCGAAAATAACACAAGTTAAAAAATTTAAGCACGAAAAATAAAGTAATTATTGATGATTGAGAAGGTTCATTCACACGAGTTAAACGAGTCTTAGACATTAATTTCAAGACTGCAAATAAAACTAATACGGTACTACTATAACACTGTTCATTGACAGAATTTAGTATTTGAAGTATTTGAAATTGTATTCAACGTTTACGTTTTCATGTTGAGAGGAATGGGCCATGAATCTTTATGGCAATTAAAGAAAAGAACTTACAGCTTATGAACTAAAAAAGAAAAAAAGCTACTCCTTCCACTATTTGTTGTAGTTAGATACTGGAAGGAGGGAGATGAATATTTGATCTGAGTTCAAGTGGACCACGAATATTTACATGTTTAGGGCCAAGGACTATATCTTTCTTTTTTCTTTTTGGTTCCCACCTGGTGTTCGGCATTCACATTGGAGCCTGACTATATATGAATTAGCATCGCACTGCTTGTCAAGGATTTTTTCATACTCAGTACTCGAACCCGAGATCTCTAATCAAGGACTTCATCGAAATAGTAAGAGGGCTAGGGTCTATTAAAGCAAAAACCAAGAGCTCTTTATTACCTACTAACATGTTCATTTCTTCCTGATCCACTGTCACCCATGCTTCAATTCCATCCACACACTTAGTTTCCATAAGTATAATAAGATTCATGAAAAATGAACACCTTGAACTTATACTGCTAATTCATATTGGTTTTCCAAATCCAAAATCAATGTGATAGAATCCAAACTTACACCAACTAGTAAATCCATAATGATCTGCACCTTTTGAGCAAAAATCTCCAATTTCCTAAAGAGATTTTCTCATCAAATTAAAACCTTCATCACTTCTCAGCCTTTTGATATAATGATCATCGATCCTCGATATAGATTTTCGTACTTGATTCACCAAATCAGGCAACCCCATTTCATGTTTAGCAGTATTCTTTGCACTTGATAGCCAAAGAAGATTTCCATGAATGTTTTCAGGCAAAGATGGTGCTGCTCTTTTTCTCAAGTTCACAATGTGTGTTAATAGCGAATTCAAACAATTTTTCTGTTTGGATGCAGCTATTGAACATTTCCATATAAAAGATGAGACAACCTCAACTTTAGTAGGATGTTTTATATGTGAGCTAGTTGACATAGTTTTAAGGTTGTTTATAGCAGAGGCATTAAAAACAAATCTTCTTGTAACAAAATTACCTTTCTTGAACAGTGAACTCCACATGGTCATAGATGTATCTCTTAACCACAAATCCTCAGCTGGAAAAATATAATTAGCCATTAAATTAGGACATTGTACTTCATTTGAACTGCAGGCTAATCCAGCCCAATATTTGAGAAATGTACTTAGCCCTACTCCATCAAGAATCTTATGTGCTATACATAAACCAATTGCAATTCCACCACATTCATAAACATTAATTTGAATGTTAGTTACATAATCCCCTGCAGCTAATACCTTAAAAGGAGGTTGACAAGGAAGAAATTGACCAATTGATTCGAGGTTTGGTTCGTTTAGAAACGCGATTAGATGGCAATTAACCTTAGTTGTAACATAATTAACTCCTTGATCGTTGCAATCGATGGAGAGTTCATCTTTAAACCTCCCTGCTAGTGGATAAAAGCGAGACAAAGTATCAACTAGTGATTTCTTTAACAATGCTGATTTTTCGTGAACTTTAATATCGCCAAGATTGGGATAGAAGAGTATAATAGGTGCATAGGGAGCTGGAATGAGCTGATCCAAGAGACAATGATTAAAGTTTTTGAGGTGATTTGGTGTTGGAGATGTAGGTTGGATCATTTCTGTGGAAATAAGTTTAACTTTTATATTCATCGTCTTTGGCTTATGAAAGTTGAGTGTGTTTTGATGTAGGAAGAAAGATGAATAATGCAAAGAGCTTATAAAGATAGTTGTTTAGTGACATAACAGATGTAGCATCTTTTAACTTTGTCATGTACATAAATGCTAGAAGAAGGAATCATTCAAGAAATCTTAGTAATCTCTAGTTCTAGTTCCATTAATTAATTGTACATGGATAACAATAACTTGCCTATGATAGCAATTATTGTTAGGCTGGTCAGATATGTGCGTGTCGGAAACGGGTAATGCAAACCGACTCGACCTATATTTAATACGGATAAAAAATAGGTTAATGGCCGGATTAGTATGGATATTTATGGCTTCTTGAATATGATCACTTTTGAGAGAATTTTTAGTCTCCTAAACTTATGATTTTGAATTAAATACTCATCTAAATTCACAATTATCACATAAAATTTAAAACCACTATATGTTTGATGGTGATGTCTATGTTAATTAATGCAATTTGTATGCCTAGACTGATGTAGCAGGCTAAAGGATCCTTTCAAGAGGACTATAAGTTAAACAGTTTCTCTTGTATCGCTTTTGACACTGAATATATAGTTTAATTAGTTTGTTAGCTGATTAATTTAACAAAAAAAAAAAATTCTTACTGTATTATCACAAATCAAAATGTTCAGAAAACAACCAACATGACATATTGTCGCTACACCACCGAGAGTTGTGGTGAAATAGATAAGATCTCTCAATTTTTAAACCAAAGGACTTTAACTCGACCAGGAAATGAGACAATGCTAGTAGGAAGCGCTTCTACTTTTTAATGACTAATGTGTTTGAGGTGGCGTGAATCCGGATTAGCCCCCACCAAAAAAAAGAAAGGAAGGAAAAAAAGAAGAAGAAGACAGACATATTGCCGCTGCACCATTAGCGATAATCTACTGCAACTTACGACATGGCAACTGGCAAACTGCAGAATCTGCGTCAGTCTTATTCTTTGGCCTTTTCGTTATCGAACATTAAACACGACATATATTAATGTCTTCATTAATCCATGAGTGATTATGAAAGATTTGGTGCTCTGATATATATACAACACAAGCATAGTTCCTAGAGGACTATTATCTTCGTCTATGTTAATTATTAATTATATTTCACAAATGATGGATAAATCTTACTCTTTGATGTCTTTCACAAATAACAAAAAAGAATTAAATATTAAAAGACAAAAGTTAGAAACGGATGTATAAACAAGGTTAGAAATGGAGGAGTCCTACTGTATTTGGTTACACATGTTAACTTTGTACTGTTATCAAAAAGAATATGATTAACACTGACCTTAAGTGTGAAAGCTATAAAGTTTAGGCACTTCAACCATTTTTCGAATGGCATCTCTCTGTTGAAATTCTCTTTATTCAGCTAAAAAAAAATCCATTGAAGGCCACCTCTCCTTCCTCATTCTCTTCAACCATTTTTTGTTGAATGTTTAATTTAACACATTTTAAATTACAGTAAACAGTATATGATTTAATTAAATATACGTTTACTTTGTAAAGAAAGTTGTATACGGTGAAATCGGAGGGTCCAATTTACCGTTGTTATGACGCCTCGCAAGCATGTCTCGAAGGCTCGAGACCCCGGTCGAGTTTTATCCCTCGAGGGCCATCAACGCTCGACCTCGGAGCAGTACAGACTGACAGTTACGGAAAGGAAGTGGGGAGTTCCCAAGGCACCTAACTAGAGCTGACGAAGTCTAGGGGGCTAGTCCAAAAACGAATCAAGGTATTAACTAGCTGTACCATCTCCATATGTTTTTAATTAATGCATTTTGTACTATGTTGAGATTCTCCCTCATATATAAAGGGATTTTTGTCATTTTGTAAACATCTGCCGCTCAATACTAAAATACACAAGAACATTCTCTCTGCTCTCTAATTCATTCTCTTGATTTCATTACTTCATTTATTGCTTACATTCATTGTGCTTCATTTATTGTTCTTCATTTATTGCTTATTATTGGCCATAAAGAGCCGTCATTGATTTATTATAATTGTTATTCATTCATCGATTACCCTCGATAGCTCCTAGCCGAGCACCAGATTCGACCACGAGGCCCCCGAATAAGCAAGCTCGAGGCCCCGATTATTAACCATCCGGTTTGATTATCACCTTGCTCTCAAACTCTTATCTCGTTTCTAAGTCTTTCACATAGCATCAACTGCCTAAAACTAGCATAAAAATAGATCACGTATTTTTAGAATCCTATAATTAAATTTAATTGTTATTACCATTTTCACGGCAAACGGTTTGGCGCCCACCATGGGGCTAAAAATTATAGTGATTATTTTCTTGTTGGTTTGACTACACGGCGTCAGTTATCTTTCACACTTTTTCTTGCCCAAGATCTTTGATTTCAGTTCAAAATGTCCCATTCAGTAAACAACAATCTTAAGAACCATGGAGAAAATGGTGTGGATGTTCCAGGTGTTGGTGTACCACCGCGAAACCCTATGAATGCACCAGAGCCAGTTCCCGTGGACGTGGTCTCACGCGACACCCAACACGTTGATATAAGCTCCCACACTAACAGGAGCGTGCACCAAGGAGATCAACAAGAAGCTCAGAAAACCCCAACTGGGGAAGAACGGGAGGTTAGCCTTCACGTTATTTTTGAAATGTTGCAAGCACAATAGCTGGCTATTGCTCAGCTACAAAGTCACCAAAAAACTCCTATCACGGTAGCACCGGGGACGGCTCCCCCAGCCGAGCAGGTACCAGAGAGATCAAGCAACAACGGGTCGGCAGCCGGCCCCGCCATCATAAAGATGCTCGAGGACCTCACAAGGAGGATCGGATCGGGCGAGAAAATGATAGAAGCCAACGATAAGAAGGTGGAGACCTACAATTCTAAAGTCAACCAAATCCCGGGCGCGCCCCCGATACTAAAGGGTGTAGACTCGAAGAAATTCGTACAAAAGCTATTCCCGCAGGAAGCTGCTCCAAAACCCATACCAAAAAGGTTCAGAATGCCCGACCTTCCAAAGTATAATGGAACGTTGGACCCCAACGAGCACGTCATTGCCTACACTTGTGCAGTAAAGAGCAACAACCTGAGGGACGACGAGATGGAGTCTGTCCTGCTGAAGAAGTTCGGGGAAACGCTCTCTAAAGGGGACATGATGTGGTATCACAACCTAGCTCATAACCCTATAGACTCATTTGCCATGCTGGCAGATTCTTTCATAAAGGCACATGCCGGGGCCTTCAAGGTGGCCACAAGGAAATCCGACGTCTTCAAAATCAAGCAAAGGGAGAACGAGATGCTGCAAGAATTCGTATCTCGCTTTCAAATGGAACGAATGGAACTTCCACTAGTCTCCGACGACTGGGCAGTGCAGGCCTTCACTCATGTTCTGAATGAACGAAGCTCGGTGGCTTCGAAGCAGCTGAAGCAGAATCTGGTTGAATATCCCGAACGTTCACAACCGATATCAATCGAAAATCAGGGTCGAGGACGACCAACTAAGAGCCCCCTCAGGCTCGGTATATCCCAACAGGCTTCCGGCAAAAGAACCAAAGCCAAATAAGGAAAGATACCAACCATAGACTGAAGATAGAAGAAATGCCCCGAGGTGCAACATACCCTGCAACAATCGAAGGATAGACCGAGGCCAGAATCCTCGGGGACTTGTCAGCAGAGCCGGGTTCGATAGGTACACAGGGCCGACAGAGGCACCTCCCATGTCGGAATATAACTTCAATGACGATGTATCAGACATCGTGTTCGCCATCAGTAAAGGCAGAGACACTAGGTGTCCAAGGCCTGTACAATCAGACCCTTCACAAAAGAACCATAACTTAGTGTGTGAATTTCACAACACGCACGGGCACATGACCGAAGATTGCCGACAACTCCGAGAAGAAGTGGCTCGATTACTCAACAAAGGTCACCTCCGGGAATTTCTCAGCGACCGAGCCAAGAATCAGTTCCGAGAAAGAGAGGCAACCAAAAAGAACGAAGCCGGTGAGCCGCAACATGTCATACATACGATCTTTTGAGGTGTCAACGCCCTACAGGAATCCGCAGCCATGAGAATGAAAACATCTCTCGACAGGGAAAAGCGAACTCAAGGCTCTATCTCAGCCCCATAATAGTACATTGGTAACTTCTTTTCTTGTGAACACATTTCGAATTAAGCATGTACTTGTGGATCCAGGCGGCTCGGTGAATGTTAGGGAAACCTCCACACCAGTCAATGCGTCCGGCACAAACGGAAACACCAATGTCTCCACCACCAGAGGGGCTGAGAAATAAACCAACAGTGAAATAGCGACCATGAGGCATGCTCTAGGCTGTATCTGAATGAACAAACAAAGGGCTATATCGCATCCTCCGAGCGAATACCGAGGGCCTGCCGAGGCTCAAAGCGCCATCGCCACTAAGGTATAACCATCTCCCTTTTTATTTTACACTTTGTACTAACCTTTATGTAGGCGTCCGACCGAGGCAGTCGAAGCGATGACCCAACTCAAAGACCTTGAGGTTTTAAAGCGTCCGTTGCACTCTTTTTCTTCGACCAAGTTTTTATCCCGAAAAGGGTTTTTACCGGCAAGGTTTTTAACGAGGCAACATTTATACGTTACCTAAGGAAAACTCTACAAGCATTCAAGGCTTCCTTTGCAATCAACCTCGAATACTGGGAGGAATCCCCCTAGAAGGTCACCTACCTGGAGAAGCCACGATGCGCTGAGTGGAGTCTTGATAGGAAAATGATGTACCGGTCCAAATGGTCGAACGGACCGTGTCCGTATAAAATAGCCGGGCCCCTGACAGCGAAAACACGTATACTTGTACCAAGTAATCAAAGAATACTTTTCATCAAAGCATTTCACACTTCAAAAGAAACTAGATATTTTTGCAAAAATGACTCCTCTGCCGAAAATGTCCCGAACACTCGGGGACTGGCGTTAACAACTCAAAA